GCACAGGGGATTTTATTCAGCCGTGAAAATGTTATTAAAAGTGTTTTAACGATATCTTTAAAACTGATGCAATCTAATTGCAACTTATCGAATCCAATTCTATGGATATTTATTGTAGGTTATAAATTTTAAAGTCAGTCGAATTAAACATAAATTAGTGTATGTAGATTCGTAGATGGCTTCAGTGAGTATTGATGTAAAGTATGTGTTGGATATTCGATATGTGCTCCTTTGTTAATATTTTCGAGTAGATTTTGTTATTATTCCATATATTATTATCAATCGTAAGATGTAGTCCATATTGAATTTAGTGGTAATGAATGCTTATCTTGAAATTAAATGTATCGGAAATTTCGCTTATTCGGATATGCAAATTTCATAGAAACTCTCTTACAGCTTTTAATAACATTATGAATTTTTAATTTTTAATTTTTAGAAAAAGTAGGATTTAATTTTCCTTACTGTTTTCCATACTGTTTAATTTTATTGTTATCATCGTTATTATAAGAAAGTAAACTCTAATTTGAATAAATTAATATTAACAAAAATGTACCTGACCCTTCAACGATTAATATTTAAAATTTTTTAATTTATATTGCTTATTTTTTCTATTTCTATATTTTTATTATTAAAAAATGGATACAGCTGATAGCTATGGCAATTCAATATTTCATCGTTCGATTGAACAAAAGTTACTCATATTTTTAGAAAGCAATCTTCAATATTTAATTATTGACAAATATACTAAAACACTAAATAATTTTCAATTAATTATATCCATTATAAATGATATAAAAATGTTGATATTCAAATCAAAGGCATAAACAGTATTTATATATACAATTTATCAAAAGCGTATATGTATTGAAATATCATTCGGGTAACCAAAGTATTTATTGTTCAAATAGAAAATCTTAAAACTAAATAGTTATATTTAATTCGATTATTAAAAAGCTTATATATAATGGTCAAACGGTGGGTCGTATATTTTTGATTAAATGAGTATAAAGATGGCGACATTCCGAGGGTTCGAAACTCAACGAGGCAATAGAGATCAATTATTTTCGGGTCGAGATGACAATGCGATGAAAGATGAAAGATGACAATGGAGCAGGAGAGGAGTGGTCAAAATTTTTAATTTTTCACTAGAATTGTGATTTACACAGAGGGCGTTATTTTGGTTGGCTGTAAGCTCATAATTCGCAAACTTAACGTTGTGGAAAATTTACTCTTGCAAGCGTCGGCTTCTTTTCACGCTTATCATACAGATATTTATTCCACCTTATGAGTCAGAAAGAAAAATCATAAGCGTAAAGGCACTTACACAGATAATCGATTTGTTTTCAGTAAAAGCACTTCGGATAATTAAATTCCCGTTAAAGAATGGACTGTTCAATTGTTCGAATGACTTAATACGCTTACTTATTTATAAGATTTTAAAAATCAGAATAAAATTAAAATAGTAATAGCGGTAATAACAATTTCACCATTGGTTGTAAGATTAGTAGTTATTTATAAATTTTAATAATTATTATTATCAAGCCGCAGTTTGAAAATCTCATTAAAAAAATTTGAAGAATAAAATTTCTTATCGTGCTATTAGATTCTTGGGATATTTTAAGTTGTATCACTCAACGATAGGAAATCATTATCATTATATAAAAGTATCATCGATCATCGACTAATTTAAATAAAAAATATTATAACATTATTTTTATGAATAAATGTTTTTATTTTTTTATAGAATGGTTTTTTACAGTAATTTGAACATACTAAATGTAAGTTAATTTTTTAAGAAAATATTAACATTTAAAATTTTATTAATTTCAATGGAGTATAAATCGACGATGGAAATTAGCCATTCTTATAGAGATAAAAATGTATCCTTTTGTTATAACAACAGTAGAACAAAGAAATAGATAATATACATTATAGTAAACGACAATGGATATGTAAAGAAAAGTCTTTAATAATTGTTAAAATATTACATCGAGACTAATTTTTTACATATCATTATACAATAGCATTTCAACAAAATTTTATTCTAAAACTGTTGATTTTATAATCTACTGATCAAATAGAATAATTGAAGAATACTGATAATGAAGTTTTTTGCAAAATAAGTCGGAGAGCGTAACATTAAATTTCCATTTTACGGCTAAATCTATTTGAAGAAGGCAAAAGACTCATAAACGTCCAAATGGCTGATTACTCCTGTCTTTACATTTAGACGACTGTTTGAGTACCACGAAAAGGACAGATGTTTAAGTGAGCCATTCCTGACAATTACTTTTTCATTGATAAGAGTTTTAGTCGATTTTTAATTCTAACGGAGATGTTGAAAAGCTCCTCCGAGGCTTTGGTCGACAGCTCCGGCAGCTACAGTTCTTCCCCTTTCTACATCTTCATTGTTCTTGTTCTTCTGAATCTCTCGATCTGTTTGAGCAATGTCAATTCACATCAATTATATTTCTTGCGATTTCGAGTGTTGTATATCCTCTCTCCCCTGACACTCCTGTCGCATACATAATTCATTGCTCTTTTCGGCGCTGTTGCGCACAAAGCTACAAATGTATGTAGATGAACGTGCACTGGTTTTTCATATCTCAGACATAGACGAAACTTTTTTTTCTTACTTTTTCTTACCATAGAATAATGATCGTATAAAAATTTATATACACAATGATATATAATTTTTAAATTAATTATGATTCATTCAACTAAATTATATAAACATATAATCAAATTTTTATCGTTTAATTGAAAAAATTAATAATAAATATATTTTTATTTTATTTAAATATTTATGTTGTTACTAACTTCTTATCAATTTTATTTCAGATTTTGTTATTATCAATTGTTTATGTTAGTAGTAATAATAATTGATATAGACATTCTGAAGCTTTCAAACGAATAATTAAATTTTATTATAATTTCAAACCTGAATAATGAATATCTTGGCATAAATCAAAATTTTAATAAGAAATCTGTATAAAATTTACTTTTAATAACATAAACAATCTTTATGAGAATGAACAATGAACGCTTTGTTTTATTAACGACATTAATTATAAATATTTAACTGACTGGTACTTAGTACATAGCAATTAGTTGCTGATCGTCAGCAGAGCATGCATGTCAAATTTCAAGTTATATATGAATTATAACAATATCATTCAAATAAAATGTTTAAATACTTTATAATAACTAAATAAATATAAATATAAATAAATATATATATATATATATATATATATATAATATCGATATCTAGTATTTAATATTTTTAAATATTACCATCATCTATAATTGTGTATATTATTCTTTTCATACATTAGTATTACATGTAAATAATAATGTGAGTTTGTAAATTTTTTAACTATACGATACCTTTAGTCAATATAATTAAAAGTATGCATCTGTAATATTTTAATTTATTAAATTATAAATTATTACAATGATTATATACTCTTAGATTTACGATTAAAGAATGTTTATTAATTAGGGAAGTAAAAACATATTTTTTATGTAGAAAATTGTTGGGTTCCGCTGATTAAAAGATGTAAATTTCAAGACAATATCGAATAATTAATTTTGTTTAGTTATTGTAGGATTAAATTTAATCTTTAACATAATTACATCATTAATTAATCATTTAATTACGTAAAATAAATTCTATCATGATTAAATCACTTAAAATGAAACTCATTATATAATTCATGCCTATACATTCATAATTGTAATTATAATTCATACATATTTTTAAATGTATATATTATAATCAGGAAATTGCTTATATATTTCAAATCTAATAACGTGACCATATATACTGAAATGCACATAGAGTACTAGACTAGAAATAATTGATTACAAGAGTGGATTCGGCAAGTAAAATTTCAGTATAGTTGCTTACTTGATTAAGAATGGCACATGTTTTCGGTTTTCTTGATACTGCTATACTTTCAGTATTTTTAACAGGATATATTTATAGTGTTAAGGCACCAATCGGTGGTATAAATTGATACGTTAGAAAATTTGTATTAAGTGCGATATTATTTTTAACCCATTAATTGAAGAGTAATACATTTTATACGATGTATAACGATTCATTGCAATGTTTAAATTATTTCTATCGAATACTATTTATGCTTTATTGGTAATTATTTATTAATTATAAAGATTATTTCATTGTTTCTTATAGATATAAAAGTAATAAGAGAGAGGCGATTACCACGAACGATGTCGCTATTTGACCAACGATTCACTTAGTAGTCGTTTTCAATATTAGTTTAACAAATAAATTTACTTATTATCTTCTATTAATGATACGAAAGATTGATCTAATGAATTAAATTTTGAATGCATTTCCAATTCCTTGGAACTATTCAAAACAAAATTCTGGCACTAACACTTTGATGTCTTCATGACATACGGCTTTTAAGCCAATACATCGTCACATTTTGCATTACAAAAGAAAAAACGTCAGACATATGCAAATTTTGCTACTTCATTGTAAGAGGTTCTTGTAAATCCATATCAGGATTATAGTGATGACGATGATGATGATGGCAATAGAGATAGATAGATAGATAGATAAATAGGTAGAGAGAGAGAGAGAGAGAGAGAGAGAGAGAGAGAGAGAATCGATGCGTGCGTTCTCCTATGCTTCCGACTTACGAGTAAACTATAGCAGTACGAAGCCCGTGGTAGTTGAGGATCGCCTGACCTAGTTTCATTCGAACCTGATGACTTCGAGAGTGAAGATGGTAGTGAGAAGCCGCGTAAGAAAGAGAGAGAAGGGTCATAAG